ATTCTATTCTATTCTATTCTATTCTATTCTATTCTATTCTATTCTATTCTATTCTATTCTATTCTAATGTTACCTGTGAACCAGGCCACTCTGGTTGTGTTTGCATGATACAACTGCTATAGCTACAATTCTGCCATCAGAACTTTTCAAATGGTGAAACTTTAAAGCACCTGTCTATGATATAAAGTGCAGTGACTACTTGTAGACTGAATAACTCAAGAGAAGCATGATCTGTAGTTTATACCTTTAACAAATTATGGTTTCACATAACACAATTGCTTTAATGTGGCTCATTAAATGGATGAACCAGGTGCAAGATGTGTGTACTATTGCACTTTTTCATTACATAACTGTAAGAAGTTTGTGTTTTAGTAACTTAAAGAGTAGTGATTCTATTTTTCTCAGTACCTAATAATATTGTCTTGTACTGTAGACAGCAGATTAATCTTGTACTTGTTTCATTACCCTATTCCATTTTAATTACTCTGCTATATCTGTATTAAGAAAGAAAATCAGAATTAGGCATGGTTGCCAGCATCAGATTTATAAAATGCTAGCATCCATACTTTGACAAGGGGGACAGAATCAATAACAAAAAGGGAATAGTTGCTTTGAACCTGGAGTCATAGCATGTACATGGATCTGGGAAGTTAGGAATGAGCAAATTGTTTCCAAACGGTTGCTAAGAGAAGTGCCACTGCCCTTTACATGGAAGTATCTTTGACACCTTCCCATCATGGTCACCAAATAGTTCTGGAAAAGGGAGTTGCAGCTGCAAAAGTGTAGGAGGATTAAAGATCTCTCACTCATTCGTGACTTTCTTTAGAACTGTCTCTCCAAATTCCTGCTTGAATCCCTCTTAGCAAACAGTGGCTACAAAGCCACAAAAACCTAACTTTTCTCATAAACATTGGTGCAGGGTAAAGCTGAAAAGGGTTTTTTTTGGGGGGGGAAGGAGGTATGGTAGTTGTGGATGCCAAGAGTTTGCTGTAATGGTTTTTATGCTTTTATTGTGCTTAATGCTTTTACTGCTGTTTGCAAGCCGCCCAAGGTTATGTTGCATAAGATGGGCAGCTATAACAACTAAAAGCAAAAAATTGAGCAGGATCATCTCTACCCGCACAGTAGAAATTGTTGAAATCCACAGCCTAAGAGCAAGAACAGAAAATTTCCAATGAAGGGAAACTGTTGAGAAGGGAAACTGGGGCTTTTCATTCCTCTCATTTGAGGGCCCCTGATTCCAGAGTGTCCTTGAGATTAAAGAGCAGACTGCATAAGGATAAAATGGGTTCATTTTTTTTCAAGCTTTGAGGCTATTGCCAAACAGGTCACAGGACTAAGAATGGAAAACGTGACCTTGGGGACCTCAGTTAGATGTCCTCTTCCCTAAGATATCAGCCATTTTTGCTGATTATCTTATTTGGTTGGGGGAGACGCATAGTGAGGGTCCCCCAGAAATTCACCTTACGAACTATTTGCTAGAATTGGGGGGGGGGGGATGTTGCCCTTTTGAGCATACCAGCAACTCCTCACAGGAGTTTGTTCTCAAAAAGATACAAACCTGAACAGAAATAAGTATATATGTATGCGGGTGGGTGGGTGGAAATATCTGGATTAACTGCCGCTCTACTTGACAATCTGATTTGTGTGGAATCCTGCATGTTTCCCCGCTACACATGTATTTATTATGAGCATAATCATCCTTAATTCTGAAAGCGGCTGCGTTTATCCACCCCACCCCGCTTTGCAGCTCTCTCGGCAACGCTGCTTGGATAGATTTCCCCCCCCCTTTTTTTCCCCCCTTCTCTTCCCTCAGTAGTGGAAATCCCCCTTCAGCCAGATGGGCTGCGAAAAGGATGGGTGGGGGGCGGAGGGTCTGGGGCGAGATGGGCCGCGCTGAGGTGGGGAGACGGATAAGGCGGAGCTCCGAGCCGTGAGTTTCCTTCTGCCTCCGCCTTCACACCACCCAACAATAGCAGGCCCCGAGCCGGGCCGTGTCGCGGGAGGATGCGCCAAAGGTACCAGGGAGGGCGGGGGGGGGGGTTCCGTGGCGTAGGCGAGCTCAGGCTCGGTTCCCAGCCCCACCGCCCACCCCCACTTTTTAGGGGCTGGAGGAACGGACGGGGGGGGGAGGAAGCGAAGTTTAAAAGCGCTGGCGGAGAAGCTGAGGAAGGGGTTACTTGGGGTGGGGTGGGTAGCTTAAAAGGAGGCGGGCGGGTGGGAAGAGGGCGAGCGCTTTGGAAAATGTCGGGTGTCTGAAGCGGAGCGCTAGCAGGGGAGCTGCTGCAGCAGGAGCTCTTCAAGGGAGCCCGGGAGCTGCCCCGACTTCTGAGCCCTGTAGTTTCGAAAGAGAGGAGGCAGCCGCACGTTTCCAAAGCTCTCCCGCCCGGAGCCGGCAAGGAACGTGTGGATGGAGGACTGTCGGGCGCGTGTAGGATTTGCGGGAGAGAACGACGTGGTGGGTAGGCTTGGAAGGCTGGCAGCGCTGTAGAGGGCTTTGCGAGGGGGTGGGGGGTGAGGAAGCAGCGGGGAAGACGGTCTGTGGGGCGGGGGGGGGGGGAAAGGAGAAGTGGTTTGTCTCTGAACAGGTCGCCCCGAAACTGGATTTGGGGAACTGGGCTGTGAAGTTGCACTGTTGGACGGGATGCATCTATAGCACAGGAGCGGGATCCCGAGGGAGGCTGTTGCAGAAGGGCGAAATCTCAGATTTCTTCGCTTCTGCGGCAGGATATCATTTGTTCTTGAGAGGAAGGGGAAAAAAAGGGGAGAGAGAGACAGAGAGAGAGAGACCACTACAGTTGCATTTCTTTTCTTGCTGGGATTTGGATTGAAGTGACGCCCAGATGTCTCCCTGCGGTCCGTGAGATCTGTTTAGGGCTCTTTGTGCCATGCATACAGAGGTTTGGCCCTGCAGTTTCTTCTCCTCCCCCCCCCCAAAAAAAAAAAAATCGGAAATGCAATGCAGCCAAGAAAACGCAGGCTTTCCAGCTGGCTAGTTTAGATCCGCTGAATGCCCTTCACTGCTTCAGTAGCCTGGAGTAAGTATCCTGGTAAGTGCAAAAGCCAGCCAGGACTGTTTCTTGATGTGCAACAAGGTATGTGTAAGATGTACGAGACAGAGGAGGGCGTCTTTTTTTGCAAGAGACACTGGGAACTTGGAAGGGGTGGAGAGGAAATAGGAAGCACTCTATTTGAAAGACAGAGGGAGCTTCTAGTGCGGGTTATTGGACTATTTACAAAAGCCACTGTTGAATCAGAAATCCCCAATGAGAAATTTCATTAATTCACTGTATGTCTCGGACGATGTCATATATGTCAGTATGGTGAGAGCTATTGAGGGGACCACAAGTGAAAAGCTGTGGTGCCAAGACCCTCTCCTGGGTCAGCTTCAGCCTGTTAAAGATTGGCAACTCCTATGTAAGGGGATCATTTTCCTCAATCTAGTTTCCATTTGGTATGTTGGGCTTGCATCTGTCAAGATCTCCTTTAAAAAGAAAAAAAAAGTATATTACTAGGATTTTATTTTATTTTTTTGTGGGAGGACAAAACTATTACACTTTATTTCTTTCTGGAGCTTCCAGTTAAGGTGGGAATTTTATTTCCCAGTTCTCTTACCCAAACCTGCTTGCTCTAGTTTTCTTCCAAGCTCAATCATATATTTCAGAGGTTTTTGATGCTGCCTTTAAAAAACAGTATTCAAAGAGTTTATTTTTGTGTTGTTTTGTTAAAAAACTAAGGGTGGTGCTTCTAGTTTCTGTAGGTAACTCCTGGTTGTTGTTTTTTTCTCACCCAGTTTTTCTGAGGATTTTGGAAACTATTCTGTCTCCCCTGGGCTGGGAAATAGTGAAAACTCCTGGGATTGTGGACGCTAAGCATAAATTTCTGTGCTGGTTGACTGAACTAATTCATTCCTCTCTTGAGACTCCTTTTTCTTTGAGTTCCACTACTGAGACACCGCAAAAGAACTAATTATTACTTACTCGTAGAGTAATCAAAATGCCAAAACCAGTGAATGCATTGCAAGGAAAGTAGATTCCTTAAGCTTTACTTTTTAAAATATAGTTAAGCCAGACATATTTTTAACATGGCCAAGATGGTTTAAATATATCTTAGCAGTTCTGAAAATAGATGCATTTTAATACGCTGGAGTACTGGGTGCAGTGTTTCTCAACCTGAGCAATTTTAAGATGTGTGGATTTCAATTCCCAGAATTCCCTAGCCAGCCGTGCCTCTTAAAAATGCCAAGGTTGAAAACTTTGCCCTGGAGTGAAATTTGGGGAGAGGATGGGATGATTGAATGGGGTTAGAGGGGAGAGAAGATGCTCAAGTGTGTGATTTTTTTATTAGCATTTTGCATATTTATTCCCCAAAATCTGAAAAGCAGTTTTCTTGGGTGCTTTAAAATGATGAATTTTGCAGGGAAATATGAAAGTGGAACGTATTATATACATATCTGCAACTTTTAAAGATTTTTTTTTTAAATTCCATTTGAAACTATGAAGGAGGTGAGGCTGAATACTAATCCTGCATTGCATATGCTTTATGTTCTCAAAGCTAAATTGAAATGCTGGATTCTTCCTCCAGGGACAAAATTAGTGGCAACTGCATTTGTCTTCATCCTTTCATATTCTTCAGGGAATTATTCAACAATTTAGAATAGAAAATGAATACAGTGATCTAACTTTTCCTCCTTCAGACCACTCTGAAGTATTTTCTTCAGCAATTCTGTAATTGGAAAGAGAATTATTTGAGTTAGCTGGCTAAATCTCCCCCCACACCCCCACTTCCCCCTGCTTTTTCCAATTATAGCCATTGGAGTTCAAATAAATCTGGCAAAGACCAAGTTGAAGATTGAGCTATAGGATAAAGATTTTGCTATAATCTCTTTAATCTTGTTTCCTATTATAGAAATAAACTCCCATGTAAATGCTTTGTGGGGTTTTTTTTTCCAGGGAGTAAAAAAAATAATTCTGGATCTTTGGGTTTCTCAAACTCCCACTTGACTCTCAGGTTGAACAGTTACATTATCTAACTTTTTATAGGTAAGATAACTTCTCTATAAACTCCTTGTATTTTCATGACCCCAGTTGGGATCTCTTTATGAAGATTATACATTAGCATTTGATTTGAATTTTGGTTTGTATTGCTAGTTTGGTTTCTGCCCATTCTTCTTCTAAGGAGCATAAAACTATTTTTATTCCAACTTGTTATTTTATCTTTCTAACCAATCTGTGGGTAGGCTAGTCAGGGAAGCTACAGCTGCAACAACAACCAGTAAGCCTATGTTGGTTATGTTGATTTCCCTCTAATTTAAACCTCGCCATTCACCTATTGGGCTACATTTGGCAGTGTTTCTCAACTATAGCAACTTCTAATTGTGTGGACTTAAACTCACAGAATTCCCCAGTTGATGTGGAAGCTGGCTAGGGAATTCTGGGAGTTGAGATCCACATGTCTTAAAGTTGGCAAGACACTGTTCTTAGGGATAAATAACTTCATGCCATGTAACTTCAAAATTACCTTGGTCACTGCCTTTAGAAAGCTCATTAACAAAACAAATTGCAGGTTAGATGAATGTTGTCTCTCTCAGTAGAACATAGAGGTACCCTTGGCCGCCCTATTTGGCTACTCATTGATAAAGGGAGAAGTACATAGTTCTGCTTGTTAGGTTTGTCACTTAGAATGGGGAACCTGCGATTCGCCAATAAACTCCAGATTTGTGTTCATGCATTAAATTTGCAGGTTCATTTATATATAAAGCTCCAACGTCAGCTTCTGCATTGGTACTGCAAAGCCACAGACATGCTGGATGAAATACCCTTTTGCCTTCAATACAGCGGTTTCTGGCTTTCTAACATTATGGCAATCTTTCCTAGCAATTTACAGCACTAATTCCCCCTTCTTAAATCTGATGTCTAGCTGCTTGGAATCCCCTGAAATTACAAACTGTGTCAAACTCCGCATAAAATGTTGAGCCTGAGAAAGCTGGATTTGGGAAAGTATGTCAAATTACGGATCAAGTAAAATTGATTAGGTGACTTTGGACGCTGTCATGGGTTTGTTTACCTATAGCAGTGATGGCGAACCTTTTGGGCACTGAGTGTCCAATATGCGTGCATGCGCATACCCAAAATGCAAAGTCCACCCTTGAGTATGCACCCCCATGCATGTCTATGCCCCCCCATGTGTGCCCCACACATGCACCCCTCCCCACCACGCATACGCAGCAGAGAACTGAAGGCCAGCTGACTGGCGGGAGGCACCTGCACCTGCGCCGTGAGCTGGGGTGACGGCACACGTTCCCACAGAGAGGGTTCTGCGTGCCACCTGTGACACAGGTGCCACAGGTTTACCAAGTCAGGTTTACCGAGCCCACTGACATAGCCAAGTCAGTGGGCTCAAAAATCCAAGAGACCCAAAATAATCACACAGATCCTTAGGCAACCCCCACACGCAAGCACTCAAAGGCTAGTCCTCACTGCTCACTATTCCATTATTTCCCGCTCTGTTACCTCTTTTGCTCCTCCAACTACAACTTATGAGTCCTGTTGGAAATCAGTATATATCTTCTTTATGCTGCTTCAGGCTGCTTTAAGAACATGTACACTTCCTTTCCTCTCTGCCATATATACCAACATTATCAGCCTTGGTTGCCTGCCTGCTCACGTTTTATAGCCAACAATTGCCGTAGTCACGCAGGGGTGTCAAACTGGTGGCCCGCAGGCCAGATGCATTGTGATTACAGGCCACGCGCACCTCTGCTCTGCAAATGGGAAAATGTGGCAAAATGTCACGTGACAGCAATGTGACACCGTGAGTTTGAAACACATACCCCGTGCGTGTAATGGCTAGAAAGAGTAGTAAAAGGGACAGACCAACAGCAGCACGGGGTGGGCATTTTGGAGGCAGTCTTATCTTCTCACAGATAACCCTTGCCTTGAGCAAGTGAGCTTGGCTAAAAACAAAACACGCAAATTTCAACATATGTGCTGAATCCAGAAGACTTACTTGATCATGTTAAGCAAGGCTTGTGTTGGTCATCATGAAATTAGGAGAATGTGCATGATTCTTGAGTTCCTACATTGCCGTTTCTGCTTGTACAACACTGCTTAGGGCCTGTCTGCCCAAAAACCACCTCTCATTGTTAAAATCTGCAGCAGGTCATGTGGAAATGTCCCCATTTCAAAGGGGGACAGGTTTGTCTTGGTGTGAAGGTGATATATGGTATTGGGGGGTGTCTTTTTGGTCGTTGTCTCAGGTTGTAGATGTACTCCTTTTAATTGTGAGGTGATTTTAGTATTTTTACTGTGACATGATCTGTCTCTAGTAGTTCGTATTGTTTTTTTGTAGTTCTGTAAGCTGCTGTAAGAACTCTCTTAAGGCATAGATCAAAGAAATAAATGCTTGCATGATTTCAAGGGATGGGGCTGGAGAAGAGTGTATTTCTTGAATTGGAGTACATAATACACCAGAGTAGTGTTTCTCAACCGTAGCCACTTTAAGATCTGTGGACTTCAACTCCCAGAATTCCCCAGCCAGGTATTGAAGTCCACATCTTAAAAGTTGCCAAGATTAAGAATCACTGCATCAGAGACTGAACTTTGCTGGACTTGGAGTGGTACATCTTAAAATCATTGTCGGGGCTTGTGGATTGTAAGCCATGGCTTTCATAATGGCTTGCTGAGCAAATCATAGTGGCTTGATTCCTATGTCATGTAAAACAGTAAACTGCAGTTTATAAATAATGGCTGGATTGCCAAATTGCATTAAGCCGAAAGCAGATTAAAACATATGGATTAAACTAATCAGATGCCACAGGAGGAAATTTCTCCTCCTATGCCGAAAAGGCTCGTTTTGGCTATACATTGTAGAAGTTCTGCTGGATTTGACATCGGTCCATCGCCCCTGGATTCATTCTCTTACCTGTGGCAAGTCAAGATGACCTGGGGAAGTTTGCAAACTGAGCATAATGGATGAAGAGAGCCTTGCTTTTGATCTCCAATGTATTAAAATCTGTCTCAGGGGTGTCAAACTGGCGGCCCGCGGAGCCAGATGCATCACATGCAGACCAGGCCGACCTCAGCTCCACGAATGGGGAAAATGTCACAAAACATCACATGACGGCAATGTGACGCCATGAGTTTGACACCCGTGTTGTAAAAGGTCTAATTTTAATATTTCTGATGATCTTTTGGATTGTTAATGTGTCCTTTTTAAAAACCAGCCCATCCTTTAAAAAAAAAAAAAACAACTCGGCATCACCCGGGATGCTGCAAAAGTGAGTGCTGTAGTTTGGTTGTTGCTACCCTGATAGTTGCTGGTTTGTGAGCAGAAGAATCGGGACTTAAATCTGTAAATCCAGACTACTTCAAGAGAAGCCAGCAGATGGGCCCCAGCTGCATCAAATGTTTCCCCATTCTTTTGTAAACTGCGCGCTCTAGCAACCGTCACAAGCATGGAGTGAGACGCACCAAGGGGAAATCCTTGGAGGAAAAGGACTGTGGGGGTTGGATCTTTGTGTTTAAAAATAGCTCTCATTGCGGCGCTCTGCTGTTCCTTTACATTGCCTGAATGCTGACGTATCTCTTTAAGGCAACAGTCCTTTGATGAAGGGTGCGCAACCCTGAACCTCCCTTTGCTTCTCTTTCAGGCAAAAGTGATGAAGGGAAGCCTGGAGGTTGGGCTTGTCATAGTGTCCATCATTGGGCCCCTGAAGACAGGTAAGAAAAGGCTGGGAAAGAGCTGGGCCGAGACATTAACTGGGATCATACATCATCCTGTATTGGGGGGGGGGGGGCGTTGAGGGGGGAGGCAGTCCACTCCCTGGACATCACCTGCAGGCCATCTAATTGTAGTATGATCAAAACGACTAGATTGTATTGGCCCAGTTTTGTAGGACTTTATTGAAAAATTAAAGCTGGGGAAAGTGGAAGCAGGCTGCCGCTGGAGACTTTGGTTTCTACTCTTCAGCCCTCTGCGCCCCCCCCCCGCCAAACAGCTGTCCCTGGGCCTGATTTCAAGCCTGCTTTGGGTGGCTTGGGAGTTGGCAGCCCACAGAGACTTCCCACTTCTACTCTGAATGAAATAAAGGGAGAGCCAAAAATAGGCTCCACAGATCCCAGTGCATCATCCATAGCCCTGGATTAACCATTAAGCAAAATAGGCATGCTTAGGCCCCAAGGGAAGGGGTCACTAGAGGGTTTTCCCTCCTCGCCCTTGAGCCGTTGGTAGCACAGTGGTCAGAATGCAGTACTGCAGGCTACTTCTGTTGGCTGCCTGCAGTTCGGCAGTTTGACTCTCGCCGGGCTCAAGGTTGACACAGCCTTCTCTCCTTCCAAGGTCGGTAAAATGAGGATCCAGATTGCTGGGGGCAGTAGGCTGACTCTGTAAACCACTTAGAGAGGGCTATAAAGCACTGTGAAGTGGTATGTAAGTCTAAATGCTATTGCTATCACGTCTGTAAGTCTTTCACTGCAGCACTCAATTTTAATTTTCAGCTCTTACTGAATCTTCATGTCACTTAAGTAATGGAAAGGCCATAGGGCACCATTGTTGGGCTGGGCTTAGGGCATCACTTGGCCTTAATCCTTCCCTGCATCATTGTTGATGCCAAATGGTCTTCTGCACCCCTCTGGATTATCGGGCTGAGCTGTGTGGCCCAGCGCATGCTATAAGCACTGGGTTGTAACTCTAATTATAGCCTCAATCCTGACCACCCCTTTCTGCTAGAGAAATCCCAGTGGCATCAATGGAGGCAGCTGGTGAATGGTCTTGCCCCCTTGAAATTGCTGGCGGGTCTTTTATTATGGCAGAAGCATGAAACTTGGCACTCTTTTACTTGATTCTCTCTGCCCAAAGGAAACGATGTCTGAAATTGAGCTGCAGTGTGAGATGAAGCCAGAAGGGGATGGCCATGAGCCAAGGACACCCCAGGATCTTCTGCAGAGACTCCGAGAGCTAGAGGTACTAAGGCCTGATCCTGTTCTGCTGAGTTAAGGGGTTCTAGAGACCAGAGCACCAGCTGAATGAAAGGCTGGCAGAAAAAGTGAATTGGGAGCCTATTGCAAGCAATTGGTTTCTTGGTAGCTACATACCATCTATTATTTCACTTAAATGTGAGCTACCTCTCAGCATTGGTGCATATAGATGGTCTCCGACTTATAGTCAGGTGCTTACTGACTGAAGTTCTGATAGACCTACCTGGGTGGTACTTACGACCTAGATTTGAGGTACTTTGTGTGCTTGGCAATGGGGCACATTTATAGCCATTTGCTGCAACTCACTATCATGGAACCACGGTTTCTGATGGTTTTGCTGAAACCCACCCAGCATTTACCTCAAATTTTCAGCAAAACTGATAGGGAATGATGGATTCGCTGACCAACCACAGAGTTTGATTACCATCTCAAGAACTACCTATGCAGAAATAATATGAATGTTATATAAGCCTATTGAGTGAGCACAGGCTCGCATAAGTGACCGATCTGAATTAGTTTTGCTCCCTTGGTGTTACAAGCAAGAGTCATTTGCTCCTAATTCTCCAGAATTGGCACCCTTTTTCCAACATGGCGTACGGGGAAAGGTAAAACCCTCACATCAGACATATAGGCCCAGGTGAATTCATTATGTGAGGCAAGTGTTGGTTATTCTTTTTCGGTTTCTTCCTAATGAGAGTGATATGCACTTTGCCACAAACATTGTATTCTGGATTTTTTGAGAGGGGTACATGACACATGTTTACAAGGGATGGGACAACAATCTAGTTGACCTGCTGCTCTGGTTTTTGAAGGGAGGTGCCAGTCATTGAAGCTAGTGGCCTTTAATCCTTCAGTCTTTTCCCATGGGCATAGGTAGACAACATAGCTTTGCAATGCTGTAGAATAGGAATTTTCAAGGACAAGAGAAATGGGGTGGAGCAGAGAGAAGAAGGGAAGTTGTCCATGCTTCAGTTCCTTTTCCCATATGCCTCCTGGAGAAGAAACTCGAGGTCCTCTTTTTTTCACCAGCAGCCTGACTCTTCTCTTTGTCCTCAGGCAGAGAATTTGGCGTTGGTGCAAGCCAATGAGAACCAGCGGGAAACCTATGAACGCTGCTTGGATGAGGTACCGCTGCTTTGCCTTCTCTTTCCCTGACAGCACCTTCTGAGGGAGGGATAGCTGCCTCCCTTTGTGCTTATATCTGCTCCTTCTTCTTCTTCTTCTGCAGGTAGCCAACCACGTGGTACAAGCGCTATTAAACCAAAAAGTGAGTCTGTCTCCAGGCCTGGTCTTTGGGGGTTGATGGCATCTTTGGAATTTTGAGAAACTGTTTAAAAGTGGAGCAGGACCAGGCACACAAAATCCTGCAGAAAGCAGTCTGGTGAAATCACGCCTTTGTAGCCCTCCAGAGATTCTGTTTTTCCTAGGCCTGTTCCCAACCCCCTTTCCCATTTTTACTTCCCAAGAATGTCTCTATGGATTTCAGTGACATTTTTGAAGTTAAAGATGATACCAGCAGCTACTGTTTTGGCTTTAAAACTGTGTAAATTTCCTGAAACATTTACGTCAGCAAGCAAAGGAATTGTCTATAGCAGGGTTCTCCAACCGTGGTAACTTTAAGACTTGTGGACTTCAACTCCCAGAATTCCTCAGCCAGCTGTTTAAAAGTGGAGCAGGACCAGGCACACAAAATCTTTGCTGGCTGAGGAATTCTGGGAGTTGAAGTCCACAAGTCTTAAAGTTGCCAAGGTTGGAGACCCCTGGTCTATAGCAAGGGTCTTCAAACTTGGCAAGTTTTAAGATTTGTGGACTTCAACACCCAGAATTCCTGAGCTAACATGTCTGGAGAAGGAATTCCAGGAATTGAAGTCCATAAGTCTTAAAGCTGTCAAGTTTGAAGATCCCTGGTCTATAGGCCCTTTGTTGACCGCACTTACTGTATCCTCTGCTGGACTTTATTAGGAGGAGGAGGAGAAAGAACAAATGGAGCTCTTGTATGTGTTATTGGGGGCGGGGGTTTGTACAAAATCAGTAGTGACTTCCAGATAATGGTATTAGCTGTGATCCTTCTGCTTGGAGGTAGGCACATTGGATTATGGAAGATACAACTGCTAAGTAAGAAGGGTTAGGCTTGTTTGTACTCAAGGAAGAGGCGTTGATACAACAATTAACCTCTGGATACTGCATGAAAGAAAGGCACAAAACCTATTAGAAACAACTGCTTGTTGCTAGAAGTGTGAATTCTTCCACCACTCTTTGTTTCCGATGGTAATATTCGTACTGCCCTTTAAGGTAGTCCAAATGCTTCTGTTAACCCTTAGAAGGTTCTCAGATCAGTGTTAGCTGTGTTTCAGATCAAGTCTCCACTTAAGCTGGTGGTAGAGAGGAGAATCGAATGAGGGCTTCATAATTCACTCAAGCTCAAAAGCAGAGTACGGGTGCCCTCGACTTACAACCGTTCACTTAGTGACCATTTAAAGTTATAATGGCGCTGAAAAAAAGTGACTTATGGCCATTTTTCAGACCTATGACTGTTGCAGCATCCCCATGGCGACGTGATTTTCTTTCAGAAGCTTGGACATCTCACTCATATTTATGATGTTTGCAGTGTCCCGGTGTCATGGGATCCCCTTTTGCGACCTTCTCACAAGCAAAGTCAATGGGGAAGTCAGGTTCACTTAACAACCATGTTACCAAGTGAACTGCAGTGATTCGCGTAGGAAATGTGGCAGGAAAGGTTGCAAAATGGGGGAAAATTCACTTAACAAATTTCTCACTTAGCAACATAAATTTTGAGCTCAATTGTGGTCGTAAGTTGAGGACTACCTGTATTTCATGCATCCTTTCCTCCATTGTTGAGGTTCAGTCCTGAGCCCCTTGGCCTGTTCTCTTCCCCGGAAATCTTACGTGCGTCCCCCCGCAGACCTCCAGAACTGGCTTTAAAATTGTAATTAAAGAGAGGGGAAACTAAGCAAGTAAGTCTGGCTGGAGTAGAAGTGTCCTATAATTCATTTGTAATGATGAAGTCACATTTAGGTTTTGTGCTCTTAGAGTTTGGAATGGGAATATCAAAAGAACTTCAACTAAAAGTCCTGCCACTGGTCTCTATAGACAGACCCAAAAAAATAATAATACACAGTTTGGGACAATATTCAGCCCACCAGCTTTTGTGGGTCCCCCAAAAAGATTGGGCCAACAACATGACCCCTGTTTTGTGTTTTGTGTAACAGGGCGGGAGTTGGGGCTAGGAGGCTAAAAAAAACAACACACCTACCTTGAAGACTTGTGGTGACTTAGAATACTTCTTTCTCAAACACCCGAAATCCCCTCTAAACAGAGGACGTGGCCTTAGCCTACTTTTGGAATGCAATTCTCATTGTTCTAACAAAACCAGGTGTAAACCTTGAGCTGATAGTAGTTGTGTATCCCTGATACAGATGAAGGACAGGCAGATAGTAGATCTTAGTTGCTTTGTATCGGTCTTGCTAATACGAATTGCATTTGCCTCTGATTAGCTCATTGCCCAAAGCTGCTTATTGATCTCTTTTGTGGGCAAGGGGATTTCGCCTGGTATTTTTTGCATGCCAAAACTGTGTCTTGCTCTGTATTGCGTTCTCAGGAGTCAGCAGAGAGGGCTTCAGTACAGTTTCCCTCTTCCTCCTCTACAGTTTTTGTCCTGACTATCAGAGTCTGTTAAATATGATCAAACATTTATGCCCATCCTTAATTTGAATGACTTGTGCAAGTCACAGGATTCAGGGTTCTTTGGGAGGGGATTTGTGCGCCTTGATGGCAAACGCCGATTTCTCCTGAATCCACTTTGACCACAAAAGACCCTAACCTAGAGGAATCCTGAGGGGGGAGGGAGGAAACCAAACAAGAGCATTTGCAGGTCCTCTCTTGATTCTAGCTTACAGGTGAGATTCTCTTTTCTCAGGATCTCCGTGAAGAATGCATCAAGCTGAAGAAACGGGTCTTTGACTTGGAAAGGCAAAACCAGGCTCTCAGTGATCTTTTCCATCGAAAGCTGACTTCTGGATCTCTCTCCCAGGTGTGTCCTCTGTCTTTTTATCTCCCTTCTTTCTTATCATGTGCTCAGCTTACACGTGCAGGCATGATTTGTTTGCTGGGTGGGTGGGTTTAGGTGACTGCATACAGAGAGAGATTTGTCTTTAAAGTCATGTAAGTTTCCCGAAACATTTAAGTCAGCAAGCAAAGGAATTGTCTCTAGACCCTTTGGTGGCTACACTTACTGTATCCTCTGCTGAGCTTCATTAGAAGAAAGAGGAACAAATGGAGTTCTTGTATGTGCCATGGGGGTGCTGGAAAGAAGGTTGTTTTATCTAGCTCAAAGGTTTGGGGAAATGTTGCATTTACAGCTGCATCACATTATTCTACGCTACCTTTATTTTGTATGCCGAGCCAAAATCTGGTTAGTCATAGGTTATTTGAATGAATTACAGTCATTTGGGGGCTTCCCAAGGCTAATAAACCTTGGTGGTTTATCAGTGTGACTGCGGAGTTCACATGTATTTCCAAGCAGCGCAGAATCGCTGGAAGTACGTTGCATGGATTTGTGTTGAAGGCGCTGCCGTTCAGGGTGTTTGCTCTCTGCGAGCAGATCTACTGGAGCCATTCATCCTATTAATTGTCTCTTCAGACTCCAGCCCATCCAGCTTCCTTGCTCTCCAGTCCATCCCCGATCTCCCAACCAGGCACAGTAGAGAAGCTCCCGGTTTCGTTTCCCCTGGGACGGTGCCTGTTGCAGAGAGAGGTATGTTCTGTAAGACCTCTAGTGTCCATTCATTTCTGCATTGCCACCTTCAGGAACAGACTTGCTGGTGCTACTGCTTCAGCGTTGGGCCACTCCGATAGCTTCCCTGTGCATCATACTTATTTAATAGTTTAAGGCAGGGAGAGTGTGTACGTTTTTTGGAATGAGGCCCAGAGCCATTAATTGATGCAGTGCTGCGCAGCGTAGACTTTTGATGCAGTAGACATCTTACGCTGTGAGCTTCATGGCTCTGACTCAAACCGTGAGATTTGGGGGCAGTGGCAATTTTTTTTTTCCCAAGGGGAAAAAAAAGAGGAAGATCAGAGTTACCAAAGGAGAACTGTTGCATTGTAGGTAGGGAAGTGGATATGGGATTGTTCCTTCAAAACTGGTTTCAGAAGTTGAGTCAGGCAGATTTTGTTTGTTTGTTCAATTGATTGATACATGTTTCTAAGGTCACTTGGCTTGATAACTTTGGGCGGCATACAGTATTTTGAAAAACAAAGTTATAAAATAACAAGTATGGATAGCAATAGCACTTAGACTTATATATTGCTTCACAGTGCTTTTGCAGCTCCCTCTAAGCGGTTTTACAGAGTCAGGCTATAGCCCTCAACAATTTTGGATCCTCATTTTACTCACCTCAGAAGGATGGAAGGCTGAGTCAACCTGGAGCCTGGTGGGATTCGATCTGCCAAGGTGCAGGCATCTGGCTGTCAGCAGAAGTAGCCTGCAATACCTCACTCTAACCACCGCGTGGCTCTTAGAAAGAAAAGATGATCATTCCTGTCGAAGAAAACATCCCTTGATCCAAATAGGGAGACTGCAGAGAGGCATCTTCCTGGACCCATGGCTCTTGCTTGAAGACAAGTAGTAGCTGTGCTTAGGAGGGACTTTGTACCCTCCTGGGTTGCATGCCAGTTCCTGGACCAGAAGGCCTGGCTCTCTGTTATTCTTGCCCATGTGATCTCCTGTTTGGATTACTGCAATGCACTCTATTGAGTGCAATATGAGCCAGTCCTTAAAGAACTTTTGGAAGCTTCAACTTGGGCAGAATTGTGGCAGTGCAAGTAGTCAATGGTGCCAATACCTTGAGTACATGTAGAACTTTGTGAACTGTATTGACAGCCAGTGTGCTTCTGGGTGCAAGCCAAGGTCCTGGCTGTCGCCTTTAAAGCCTTTCATAGCTTGGGACCGAGTTACCTGAGGGGACTGTCTCTCCCAGGTATTTCTACCCATCTGATCCATTTGGGCAGGATGGACACATGCGTTGGTTCCTTTTCTCCAGTGATGTGTTTGGAGGTTAGGATGGCTCTGACACTGCTGGCCTTTCATAAGGTGCTAAAGTCCTGGTTCTTTGCTGGGGCCCAGGGGCCCCAAATGTACGAAAGGGCCCATTTCTTGGCTGTGTCTGTGAATGTCAGTGTACTTTAAGGTTTGTATTGTGGGTTGAAATCATCCACCTACCCAACAGTAAATGGCTTCTACTGTTTTTGTTGGTTTTAAAATGTTTTTATGATTTTAACTGCAATGTATGTTTCTGAATTGTGAGCTGGTGAAGAAATCATTTACTGAGATGAGAGGCTAAAAGATTTTAATTAGAAAAAAAATATAAATAAATAAATTGATTTTATTATTAATTTTGTTTAAACAATAAAGCTAACCTGTTGAGACGGGTGGCAATACAAACTGATTAAATAAATTGCACTTGTTTGTAAGTATGTTATATATGGATGATGCAAGATTGTAATGGGAGGCAAGTGAAGTGCCTTAAATTCATAGGACTAGCTAAAATCTTCTAGTCCAGTATCCATTCAGTGTATACTTTAGCAAACTACAGCCTGGAATGAATGCAAAATTCAAATAGAGAGGAGGAGGTGGAATTCCTGCTTTTCCTGCACATTTTAGCTTCTTCAATCCATTATGTTGCCACTTAAAAATAATACTGAGCAGAAGGTGATAGACAAATTCTTTCTCTGCTACTTCTGAGGAACTTTTGTCCATTGTAGGAAACCACATTAAAATGGAAGAGTAGAATAAATCACTGGTTGTAAAGAAGTCTGGGGACACAACCAGAAATAACAAATGGGAGGTTGTGGTCGAGAGGGCTGATGTGGAAATCCAAAGCTGGCCTTAGTTACATTTTGTATGTCTTGGTTGCGTCCCAGGTCATCTCTGGGGAACACTGTCTGGAAATTCCTGGATCTAATCCCCAGTCTCTGGAAGCTCTCTCCCCTTTCCTGCGGAAGAAGGCCCAAATCCTGGAAGTGCTTCGTTCCCTGGAAGAGATGGACCCTCTGCTTGCCTTTCCTTCCCCTTGGAGACACCCAGGGCAGCTGAGCTCCCCAGAAGGAGTGACGGCAGAAGCCTGGCCATGTCTGTTGCTGGCTCAGGGGGAAGGAGCGCCCGGGCAGCCTCCGCTGAAAAGTGAGGGCAGCTCCTCCTCCTCCTCCGATGAGGCTGGGGAACCTGATCCTCCAGAGAAAGGACACCCGGGGCAAGTATTGCTGAGTGCCCTGGCTGAACACAAGCTGGAATTAGGTGAGGTGGAGACCTACCTGCAGCATGTCCTTCGGGAGGCTGGCGACAGTGCCCTGCTCAATGGGGAGCCCAGTGGACCCTGCTTGATGGGAAACCCCGAAGGGCAGGCCAGGAGCTACAAGCACATGCAGGCTGTGAGTTGCCTAGAGGCCTTGGGGCCTCCCTCTGCCTCCACGGAGCCGGCCTACCTGAGCGTCCTGGCCTCCAGCGAAGACAAAGATAAGTCTCAGCAGGGGCTCCCTATCCCGTCCCCCTCCAAGGTGCTCAAATTGCTGAAAATGCCACCGCCACCCAGCCACGCTGCCCTTCGCCTCAGCCCGCAGCTCACCCGCAGCTCCAAAATCCCCTGCCGCAGTAACACATACGAGGTGTACCACTCCCCAACGCCAAGCCGCAAGGGCTCCCCCGACAGCCCTTTTCCTGCTGACTCTGGCATTGGCGGAGGGCATCCCTCCCCCAAGGCCGGCCGACCCCTTGTCCCAGAGTCCCCTCCCATCGCTCCCACATTACCAGACCCTTTTGGGTACCACAAACCCCACGAGTACGAGAACATCTTAGAGCTGACCCTCAGCACTGCCGTGAGCTCTCGGTCCCCCTCATCCCGTGAAACCAAACTGGATGCACCTGAGGCACTCCTGCCTTCCTGCCGCTTGGCTCTTCAGGCAGTGCCGACCGGTGACGTCCCTCTGGAGCCCTGCCCTGCTGGCCACCGAGAAAAGTCGGGCCCAGAGATCAGGCGCTCGCCTCCTCTGGCCCGCAGGAACCCCGACAACTCCAAGAGAGGCGCCAGCGGCTCTACCAAGCGGATGCTCGAGGTGGCAGCCAGCATGCCTTTCAAAGAGCGGCTGACAGTGCTTGGGAGGTTGAAAGGGGCGGAAGGGAAAGAGGGACCGGGCTTTGAGAAGGGGAGGGCCCCAACCCGGCCAGGGGAGCGTGGGGAAAGCCTTCCCGATGCCTACCCCAGGCTGGGCTCTGGGAGCAGCAGCCTCAAGCACCCTGAGCCTTGCCATGCGAATGAATCAACCCCTCGTTGCTACTCTTCCCATTCTGTGGGTTCCCGTGGCAACGACGCTGAGCACCAGGCCTCCAAGAATCGTTCCCTAGGAACGCCAGCAAACAGAAATCCCTCCAAACCCCTGCCGCCCGGGAAGAATGCCAAGAGTCCGCACGGGAGCCCCACCAAGTTACCGTCCAAGTCCCCAACCAAACCCCCTGCTCCAGAACCCAAGCCATGCCCACCCACAGCCAAGGCACACAGCAGTTTTGGGCGCAAGCATCCCCCTGGTCCTGACCAGGCCAAGGGCAAAGCTGGGTCTCCCGCCAGTATTGAAGAAAAGGTGATGAAAGGCATTGAAGAGAACGTCCTGCGAAGGCACAGAGGTGGGCCGGCCCCAGGGGAATCCAAGCAGAAGAATTCGAGTGGTCTTGCCAGTTGGTTTGGCCTGCGTAAGAGCAAGCTGCCTGCCCTCAGCCGGAGGCCGGAGACTCCCAAAGCCAAGGACAGCAAAGCCGGCTCACGCAAGCTGGAGTCGGAAAGCTTGAACATTTCCAAGCTCATGGAGAAGGCAGAGGACCTGCGCAAAGCCCTGGAGGAGGAGAAGGCCTACATCAACGGGCTGGCCCTGGACAAGCCTCGGTCCCACACCTGTGACACGGGACACAGCCAGCTCACCCTTATGTACCAGGAGGTGACTGCGGAGAACTTCATGCAGCAGCTGCTCAATAGGTAAGTCAGAGCAGAGAGGATGGATCAGAGCAGTATCTGCCTGGAAGGGCTTAAAGGCACCTTAGTGAAGGCGATCTCACCCAAGAGGTACCATACTTAAGTTAGGATCAGCGCTTTCTTTCACACAAACTTTGGGGTTCAGATTTGCATAAAACTGAAGATTTCTGCTTGGGATCAAGAGTGGAGTCAGTGAGGTGGTAAAAGAGTAATGAATAACTGTACAGCTTGAGTGAAACTATTTTTTAGAGGTAATTTCCCCCTCCCCAATCCTTTTTTTTTTAATCTATTAAGACTTGACCAGATGCTGCCCATTTGTTTCCAAGCTTTTTCCACATTCCTAAGGTGCTAAAATGTCCCCCCTCTTCCTTTGCTTTTTAAATAAAATTTATCACCCTCAAGATTGCTCACTTGGTCCCAGATATCTTTGACAAACTATGGAGTTAATATCCAGGAGCCTGAAAAATGAGGATTATGATTTTTGGCTCTGATGGATTGAGAGATGGATTTAAGAAGTGGCATCTTGAGCTGTGCAAGCCATGGACTGAAAGGAGGCAAGTCCCTCTAGATCAATGGTCGCCAACCAGTGAGCTAGGGACCACTGGTGGTCCGCGAGAAAATTTTGGTGGTCCGCAGAGAAATGTCACCTTCAGAGCACCCCACAAAGCAATTAATCCAGGCTGTGCGGGAACACAAGGCTGTGCCACCCACATGGCCCACGGGGATACAAGGCTTGCGTCGCTTGCATTGCGAACAACATGAGGTAGTGAGGGAGGGGGGAAAGGGAGGAGGGGGGGGAACTTGCCCCACTCACCCTGCACGCAAGGAAAGCAGCAAAAGTCTGTCTTTCTCTCCTGCAAACTCTGTCAGAAACGAGTCTTTTGTGACCCTGCAAGGTATCCTGCTCCAAGAGGCTGCACCATTCTGGCGGAGTTTGGGGGAGAGAAAGAAAGACTTCTGCTGCTTTCCTTGCATGAAGCCAAAAGTCTCTCTCTCTCTCTCTCTCTCTCCCTCTCTCTCTCTCTCTCCCCCCCCCCCCCCCCCCCCCCCCCCCCCCCCCCCCCCCCCCCCCCCCCCCCCGAGAACAGAGCTGGAAACGGTATCCTGTGATCCCAAATAAATGATTGATCGGTAGGAAAATGGGGTGGGGAATTTTCCTGCAGACTTTGGGGGATTTTCCCAGGGTCTCTGGTCCGTGGGATTTAAAATTATGAGTTTGGTGGTCCCTGAGGTCCAAAAGGTTGGCGACCCCTGCACTAAATGTTTTGCAGTTTCTTACCAATCCAAGCAAGCAAGGGCAGTGGGTGGGGCTTATGGAAGTTGTAGTTGAAGACAGTGTGAAGGACATCCATTTGCCTATTCTTGCGATGGTATTTACAGAGGGTCCCTAGTCTCTTTCCTGCCAGGAGACCCTGCAAATCTTGCAAAACGGGGTAAGGATTGAACGAAAGAGAAGCTTCAGGGTACTGATCTCCACTGCACTTGCAGGGTGGATGGGAAAGAGGCACCGTGTGAGTCTCATCTGGAGCAGAAGAATGAGCTACAGGGCCTTCAAAGAGGCCTGCGTGATGCCAAAGATCCCCGCCTTATCCGTCCGCCACGCAACGGTATTGTTGGGCACCTCCATGCCTGTCCGGAAGCTCCAGACAAGGTGAGCTCTCTGTGAGTGGAGGGGAAGCAGCCTGAACCCCCCGTCATCCATGCCTCAGCTGCCAGAGGTCTCATTCTTGTCTCCTCTGTCTCCCCTGTAGCTTCACGAAGCTGCCTTGCGGGAAGAGCTGCCATCTGATGACAGCTTGGCTGAACTGGTGACCTCCCAGCACTTTGCCGGTGAGTTCTTTTAACTTAGCGGTTAGCCTAAGAAGGTGGTCTAGTCATTTGGGAGCCAGTACTGTTGAAATGCAGTAAAAAAAAAAATCAGGCTTATGTCTTCAATGAGGAGAATGAAGTCCTGTCAAGAATATTCCCATGATTCCACACAAGCTTCCATGAATTGTACTCCAAGTTTACACAGGAAATTACTACCACAGAGAATTGCTTCCTAGAAAGGAAATGTATATCCTCTCTGTAGTGGGGCCTGGTGGCTTTGTTCCAATTGTGAGATTATAAAAATGGAGGGGGTGATATTTTTTTTCTATGTAATACAGTCTCTGCCACTTCATATCCTTTGAACTGAATTACAATTCCCATTATTCTCCCATCAGTATGATCAATACCAATGATATCGGAGAATTCTGAGAGTCAGAAGTTTAGAACATGTAGATGTTGACAGAACATTAGACACTGAATTTAAAAAGAACGAGAATTAGGTAATGCTTGCTGACATCTCATTCTTCAGAGGGTAGCTGTGGAAGAAAATCAGGTATTTTTGTGTAAATATGGTTGGAAGTCCCATTTCCTGGATTTTCTTCTTAGTTGTGGAAAGAGGACTGAAAAAAGTGGCTGGAGACATATGGACTGTTGAACATTAGAAAAGGCTGTGAGGATAGAATAACTAACTTGTTGTGTTGGGGGATCAAGCAACATTTGTCCACAATTATAGTACCTGCAACTCGCTACATGGTGGACTGCTGAAATATATTTTTTTAAAAATCAAAATTTTCTCATATCTCAGGGAGCAGGTGGGAGCTCATTCATTATTTGTATTTTTTTTAACTTCTTAATTTTTAAAATGATGTTTAATTTTTTTTTATTGTGGAAAAATCACATGGTGAATGCCCCGTGTCCTGAAGGGTGGCTGACCGTTGAATTACATCTCTGTCGTCTTCTGCTTTGCTTCTGCTCTAAGGCAGGGGTCCCCAATCCTCAGGCTGCACAAGTGGCAGGCCTGTGCGTGAATCCATCCTCTTCTACACCCCCCCACTCATTGCCCCCACTGCTGTCTGCAGAACTGAAGGGGTTGGAACTGCTGCTCTAAGGGGGCTGGTTCGAAGACAATAAATAAGAATTCTAGGAGGGTTTGTTTTTTTCCTCCAGGCAGGTGTGTTTTCATGGAAGCAAAAGTACGGCTTTCTAAATGTAAATTCCAACTCTTATCATCTCCGGCCATTGGCCACGAAACCTGGAGTTCAACAATTATTGGAGAGTGGCATGCTACCCACTTACTCATATAATGGCCTCCAGCGTATACTGCTGAGTAGGTCAGAGAAATGGATTTCTGGAGGAGGTGTAGACTTTGGCTTCATCGGTCCTCACAGTTTCTGGTTTATGTCCACAGTGTGTAGTTCCTTGACACGGACTCTGGACAGTGGAATTGGCACATTTCCCCCTCCTGACTACTGCAGTGGGATGCCCTGCAAGAGTGTCCCGAAACTGAGACCTCGATTGGATCCTCCACCAGCAGGACCTCTCCCACCTAGAGGTCCCCCACTTGTCACCAGAGTGCCCCGCAAAGCCCGAACGCTGGAAAGGGAGGTGCCAAGCGCAGAGGATCTGATGGGGCCTAGCAAGCACCAAAGCATGCCAGCTTTCCATGGCATCTTAACCAGTGCAGAGCCAGCCCTCAGCCGCCATGATCGCAGAGGCTGCCTGCAAGGTTTGTACCATTTGAAAGAGTTCTAACCAAAGGAGCTATGTATTGTCCTCTGCGTTGGAGGTCTTTTCTGAAGCCGTAGATACATGTGCATGTATACTCCACAAGCAGGCATTTCGCTAATGTGCCTTTACCAGTGGAGCTCAACCGATTTCATTATATTCTTCAGTTCTTAAAAGGATCTTTTGGCTCAAATTCTTAGCTGAGTAGTTTTAGTGTTAGGGTTAGAAGGACTATAAGCTGGTCAAAGGGACGCAGGTTACAATTCTGATTTAGAGGGATCCATAGTTTTTCTTCAATTTTCCATGCATTGAAGTTAGGAGGCCAAACAATCCTATTCAGTGAAAAGAATCAGGCAGATGTTGATTTGTGCCTTTTTAAGATACTGAAGTGGTACGAAAAACCAGGAGGAAGACTCTTGAATCATTCTGTCCTTAACCAATAGAAATATCAAGATGTTCTCACTACTTTCCGAATATTTGTCACCAATTCATGCAGGTCATTTCAGCAGAAATGTTACACTGTCATTTGGCATCCTATTCCTGATGCGGATCAAATACCATAAAGTGTAAAGCTAATATTTTAAAATATAGTTCTTTCAGCATTTAAAAGGAAGATGCAAAACTTTCACCCTGTGATCCAAACTTGCATTGTTTCTGCTGTGTTGTTCCAAAGCAGATGCGACGTTGGTCCCGGCTCACTGATCATAATTTCCTGATCTTCCTTACACAGATCTCTGCAGTGAAGCCAGCAATCCCCGCCGTATCCAACATGGCAAGAACTGGACTTTCCCTAATGCCAAAGCATCAGCGGGCATGGATCCCTTTCTCTGCTCTCCTGACAGGCTGGAAGAGCTCCATGGTTCTGCAATGGTAGGGGTCAGAGATGAGTTGGGGGGGTGGGGGGGTGGGGAGAGGCAGCAGACAAACAGATGCCATGCTTCAAAAAGCCCAGAGAGATTTCAGAACAGCATTTGGTTTCCAAGAGCTTGTGAAGCTAAGAATCACTGCCGTAGCTTTTGATGTTATCCACAAGGGGGTATGAAGATGGTAACCAGCACTGACAGATTTGTTGTTAAGTAGCTCACAGAAAGCTTTGTTTTCCTGAATGGTTCTAGTCATGCTAAGACATCTTTGCAAAATCACGCTGTGGGTGATGCTATAGGAACCAGTTATCAACAGCATCTCCTTCCTCTTTGTCGCAAAGCTATGGCTCCACTTTCAGCTTTTAGTGCAGAAGGAGGAGCAAGTTCACAACGAGATGAGGCTCTTTAACATTCAAACAGGATACCAAAACTATAAATGAATGTTAAGTATGTAACCAACCACGGGTTATATATAAAAACATGGGATAACAATCTAATAGTAATCTATATAGGTGCTATATAGGATTTTTTAAAATGACCATCAGAGCATTAGTATTTCCTATATTATTAACACGCTCTGATGCTAAGGAGTTCTAGTCTCCCTCCTCACCTGAAAAGAAATCTGTTCCAAATGCAAAACACAGAGGAGTTTCAGTTTTAGATTCACAGCAGCAACCACCTTTAGTAAAGAACAGTTGAGCTAAGCCATGCCCAGGCTCCTTGCTGTCTCCTTGCTCACACAGCAAATACTGTTTCAGTTTCCAAGCCGCCCTCAACTCACACTGACAGGATGCTAGCCAGATGAATACCGATGGATGCTGGTAGGCAGATGCACATTTTTTTTCCCTTATTTCCCACCCCCAAAACTAAGCCCAGTCACGTAGTTTCGTAGCGAAGCATGGGTATAGAGCTAGTACAATATGTAAACAATTAGACTGCTTTGGCTGCTGTGTTAGTTTCTAGAGGTTCCTCGATTAACTACGGTCATTTGAATCAGATTTTCTGACGCTAAAAACGGCAATCATAATGTTCAATGTCATGTGACCTTGCTGCTACCCGGTAGTTTCCAGTTACCATTGTTAAGTGAATCACCGCGGGTTGTTAAACAAGGACCTCGGGTGATCACCACTTTTGACTTCCTGCTGGCCTTCCCATTGACTTTGCTTGTGGGAAGCCAATAGGGAAGGTCGCAAATTGGGATTGTGGGACACAGCAACAATTGGAAATCTGGGCCGGTTGCTGAGCACCTAGCTCACTATTGTGTGATTCTGAAGGCCCTGAGCGGCCAAAGCTTTGAATACTGGTTGTAGGTACTATTTGTTCACCAAGTGTCCCAAGTTCAAATGATTGCTGAAAGAGTGAGTGTTAAACAAGGACCACTTGTAAATGAAAAGAGTTCAATTCCCCGCCCACCCGAGCCCCTGGCCTTGTGTTGAAAATACAAAATGCAGTTGCGGAGCTCATCTCTGCCCTCCAGCCACACACACTTCCTGTGGCTCTCAGTAGCTGTAAAACAGAAATAAGGCAAAACCAAAAACCAGCCTCCCTGGCTTTCTTCCGCTGAGTAGTTCTATCTTTTCTGCTTCTGCAGGGTTCAGCTTGCAATGTAGTCGAGAGAAGACGGGCGTCCTCCGAAGGGCCTCAGGCCTCCCCGGCCTTCAGCACCAGCAGCAGCCGAACCCCCAGTGCTTCTGATGTGGGTGAAGAGGGCAGCACAGAAGCCTGTTCCAGGGATATGGGTCCAGAGGGCCAGCCAGGCCTGGAGAACTCGGAGTCCCTCAGTGACTCTCTCTACGACAGCTTGTCCTCCTGTGGCAGTCAGGGCTGAAAAGCCTCTCGAGGGAGAACGAGGGCATAGACTTCCTGGGTTGACACACTGCCACATGCTCCTGCCTGGTGCTTTGAGGGCCCAGCGCTTGCCCATAGGATCCTGCTTGATTCTTCTAAACCAAATCATGACCTGCACCAGAACGTAATGTGTCTTCCACACCAGCTCCCTGCCCATTCTTAAGCAGGGAAATGGGACTTCTTCAGCAGGGCACCACCTGACTTGCCTATTAAAAGAGACAGGAAGGGAAGGGAAGGTGGGCAGGATGGGAAGGGGTTGTGGGCATCTTCACCTGTTTGAATGGCATCAATTGGGGTGGGGTGGGGGTTGCACACCTAAGTAGTGTCCCTTTGGTGAAAGCACCGCGAGTGGGAAGGGAGTCCAATTGGTCTTGTTCATCCATTATGCAACTTGGTGGGTTTGCTGTGGAGGAAAATGGAACCAGGGATGGTTACGGGTTCCAGGGTACATTAAGCAGAGATTATCTCCCTTAAAAGGGAAGTGATTCCAATTCACATATTGCACCAGCAGAACACTCTCTTGCCCTGACCTCCCTTTTGCAGGCGGGAAGGGGTGGTGCTAATTACGATGCCCTTGCCAGGGGGAGGATTTTTTTCCCCATCCTTGTATCTATCCAAACTGCCCTCCTTACCTCAGTGGCAGTGCAGTGCTTGCCTTAGCAAAATTACCGAAGCCCGCCCTTCCACCCCTTGACGCTTAAAAAGCATGTGAAATTTTGCCAAAACCAGGACTCCCGTCCATCGGGAAAGAGGAGTGAAGTGGGCCTTCCATCCATTTCTTTCATTCAAGCATGTGGCTGCTTGGGGGTGGGGTGGGGGGTACCAAACTGATGTCTAGGGGGTGCGGATGCTTGACGAGAAGGACCCCTCTTGACAAGCATCTTAATGTGAGTAGGTTCACTTTTCTCTCATTGTATTTCATCAAATGGTCCCTCCCTCCTTTTCCTTCCTTGCTCCCAAATCCAGTTGAAGGAACAAGAACCTTAGAGCTACTGTGTGTCTGGGTTAGATAACTTGGGCCTTCACTTCTTGCTCCCTTTCTGTGTAATCTTTTTCTTTTTAATTAAGAAACGTTAAGTTATTAATGTTGTTGATCTGGTTTCCATGCAGCCTAGCCGCGTTCTCTCCCATCCTTGTTTCCACGGGAGCTGTTTTGGTTCCCTAGATGGTGCTATTTTGCTGTGTGTACAGGTCCCCTTTCCCGATGAGTCTTCCTTTTTGTTGTCTTTTTTTTTTTTTTACTTCGATATATTTTAAAACATTAAGATGTCTTTTGCTCCTTTTTTATTTATATAAGTTATTGTGAAATGAGGCTGTCTGTTGTCTTGAATCTCCTAGAAAATAAAGGGGGTTAAAAAAAAAAAGTGTGTGGCTGAAATACTTGGTGTTTGGAATGAATTTGCAGGTTTCTCGTGTTCTATGATAGACCTGTGTAGCAGTTCAGATCTGAAGGGCAAAATGTGATTTGGCAAGCGTGGGTGATGCACACATAGCACCTCTTGGAGAACATGTGAAGCCAAATGTATCTTTTCCTAGGATTACGTGCCAGTTGTCTGGGACAGCTGTGCAAGGCCAGGAAAATGAGTTGCTTTCAAGTGTTCCAAACAGGTTACATGCATTCTCACACAAGCTGCGAATTGCATGTTATCCCCCGAGTTCAGATCTTTGCAGAGCCCTGTTATGGAAAAGCTAGCCTTGGTCTTTTTACGAAGTGGCCTTTAGTCCGGGCAGCCTGGATGGCAGAGCTAAGGTGGCTGGGCTGCAGCATTTTTGCTTGAGCTTGAAATCTATTCACTCAAGCTTCTAAACTGGAATTCATGAGCATGGATAGAAATAGGCAAGCCGTCTGTTTAAAGTACTTGAGCCACTGGCTTCCTACAGACCTAGGCTAATTGCAGAGATGTTGACATTTGCCCTAGATCACAGCTTTGTAATTAGCTTAAGTTTGCAGAAGGCAGGTCGCACTTGAAGGAGAATAGACGGAATCTTGGCTTACATCCAGGGGACTCAACAGGAGTCCTAAAAAAAGCTTAAGCTTCCAGTGAAGGCATCAAAAAGAAGCTTGGCTCAATGGCATTATTGTGAGGGGGGAAAAAGGCCCCCCCCCCCCCCCCCCCCCCCGCTTCAGCGGCTCTGGCTTTCTGCAGATCCTTGGCACCGCCTAGTGAGCTGAAGTGGGAATAGCATCACTGCATTGCACAGCCCTTGCATCACCATCTAGTAAATGCCAGCTTGGTGACCAAGGTTGCAAGCAGGTTGGTTTACTTTGGAGACCGTTTTCAGCAACAGCGTAACAGCAGTGAGGTTTGAGCAGAGCAGGACTACAAAGGGAAAATTGGGAGGGGGAGGGGCGGAATGGAGACCTGCACTCTTGTCCTCCATTACATCACATCTGATTTGACTGCCTGGCTAATTCTTGGTAGGCTCCTGGGACACTTTAAAGCCTCTAAAATATTTAATTTTGCCAGGCTGCTTTTCATTATTAACACGCAAAGGGCAGGAACTGGAAAACAACCTTGGAAAGAGGTTACGATGAAAACTTTCTAAATGGGAGGCAATCGCATCTTACAACAAACTACTGGAAGGACAGAGTATATTTAGCCTTGAAAAGATGAAGGGCAAACTAAAAAAAAAATAGTTCAGCACCTTGTGGATAGCGACCTGCACTGGGCTTCTGCTTGGTTTGCCCGAGAGGGAACCATACAATTAATACGTTCATTTGAGTACTACACACAAATATAAGTAGGTAGCAACAGGGCAACCTTAGGCAAGCCTCTACCTGCCTGCCTGTAATAGTGGATGGATTTGGAGTAGCTTATAGTTTTTCAAAAAGTTTGGGGAAATGTCATGGCTGTCCATTCACACTGACTTGGGGGCTGAGATAGCTATTATGCCAAGGAACTCCTCATCCATTTCGTGCTTCTTTGTAGCGCCATTTGGTGCGAGCGGCAGGAAACCAGAAAATTGCCACAAAGAAATAACTGGCTCGCAAGATGCAAATAAACCCCCTCGACGTCCATAATTATTCATTTTTATATCTTCAGTGCAGGGAGTCGACTTACAACAGTTCATTTAAGTGAACCGTTCAAAGTTACAATGGCAAGGAAAAAGGTGACTTGTGAGCTTTTCCACAGATCCCACCTTTGCAGCATCCCCATAATCATGATCAAAATTCAGATTCCTGAGTCATACTTATGACCATTGCTGTGTCCCAACATCATGTGATCATTTTGGGTGACCTTCCACAACAAGCAAAGTCAATGGGGAATAGATTCACTAATCAACCGGATTACTAACATCAATTGCAGCGGTTCACTTAACTGGCAAGAAATTTTCTAAAATGGGCAAAGCTGACTTAAATGTCTTATTTAACAACAAATGTTAGAGTTCCATTGTGGTCCTAAGTCAAGGACTCCCTGTACTAGAATAGAATCACTAGTTCCAGTTGGGATCCTTTTTTTAGCCTTTAAACTGTCTCCTCTTCTATAATCCATGCTTTCCTGGTGCAGAAAAAAAGAGATTTGTAAGACTTATTTCCTAAGCATGCTTCACCGCATGGGTCTTGTTCTGCAATTACCCATCTAGCAAGACAGACCCAATATCGGACTTGGTCACAGTGCTTGGCTTTATCTCACAGGTTTCTAGCCTGCTTTGTACCTATTACTGAGGTGTAGCTACCTGCTAGCCTCTTCCAAGTACACCGCACTAGGAAACCAAAGTCATTTAGGCCAGTGCGGCTTTCATTATAAAATGTTGAAAACCACCCAGAGTTGTCTCTTAAAATGAGATGGGTGGCAAAAATAAAAATAAAGCTATAGTAACAGCAGCTTTCAGTCTTGCATTTTCCCCTCCCTCCTTGTGAGGAATAGGGAAGGGTTTTTCTGAGATGCTTACCCAGGTTACATTTCTTCCCTGGACTTGGTCCACTTTGATCTATCTTGGTAGCAGCTCTTCCTCCTGTTCCTCAAGGCCATTCCTTCTTCCCTCGACACTACCCATTTGAAGAGATGCAGTTATAGTCAGAGGCCTCGAGAGAAATAGGTCAATTAGTTGAATCCAAGTTTACCAATTGAAATTAGACAATTTTAGAAATCAGAAGGTTCCTACCCAGTGGTGGGATTTTACCAGTTTGCACCTATTTTCTAGAACCTGTTAACGTTCTAAGCAGTTCGGAGAACCAGTTGTTAGAAGAAATTACTGGCCTAATCCTGCAAGGAAGGCAGGAAGGAAACATTCTGGTGTTGCTTACAGAAACTGCCTCTCCGTTAACCCTTATTACATTCTTGGCAGGACTAGACTTCCTGTCTCAGGAACTTCTCTGGAGTTTTTTTCCCCTCCTTTGCTGGTACTTTGCTTGTGTGGAGTGACCATTCAAAGTTACAATGGCACTGAAAAAAGTGACTTATGACCATTTTTCACACTTACGACTGTTGCAGCATCCCCACAGTCATGTGGCCAGGCGAGATGTGTGCCTCAATGTGATTTTGAGTTGGCTACAACCAGCCAATACATGACCACCAAGCCATGTCCACCAATTCACATGACCAAGCCATGTCCACCACCTAAGCCATGCACACAGAACCGGTTAAAAAATTTGAATCCCACCCATTCCCACCGTAACCTCAGGAACCAGAGGAAGAATCCCACAGTATATCATAAAAAGCTTACAAACTGCCAGGTCGAATAAAGTCTTCATTGGCATCTCAAACTTTTGGCTGCCACCATTAATATGCTAAAAATGCCAAACATTGCTATACATATTCTGCAAGATGAGAAAAGTCCATAAAAGGGTTTTTTTTTACTTTTTTTTCTTTATATGGATTTCATGACAGCTGCTTTCCAAACTTGGTCTCCCCAGGTTGAACTAGCAATAGCACTTAGACTTATATACTGCCTCACAGTGCTTTACAGCCCTCTCTAAGCGGTTTAGAGTCAGCATACTGCTCCCAACGATCTGGATCTTTATTTTACCAACCTTGGAAGGATGGAAGGCTGAGTCAACCTTGAGCCGGTGAGACCCGAACTGCTAACCTGCTGGCAGTCAGCAGAAGTAGCCTGCAGTACTGCACTCTTAACGACTGCACCACCGCAGCCCTAATATTCAGTCATACTTAACAACAGTTTGCAGGTTTGGCAGTAACCAGTAAGCATACAGGCAAATGTGTGAGGGCCCGCTTGTTCTGGATCCCAGACGTTCTCCAACATCAGGTAGTCAAGAAAATGCCTAACTTCCTTGGGGATCCAGCTCTATTTGAGCACAAAAACTACACACAATCGCACTGTGAACTTAAACAAGCTGAAGAGTTTTCCCCAAAGACACAAAATTCATTACCATAATTTGCAAGCAATAGAAGTTGATTGCAATAGTCATGGTGAAAGTAAAACCGCTAACAGGGTAAAGTTTGAAGATTTTTATTTTAATATTTTTCCCATACAAAGCAAGACAATGTAGATTTTATTTGAATCAAAACACCGTTGTTTTTGTTTGTTCAAAAACCCTGTCTCTTCACAGTAGGCGGCTAAAGAACGCAGCCAGAGCTGGCCATCCAAAGAGCGACAGAGTTTATTCTATTAAACCCTGTTAGACAAGGTCTCTATGAAGTAGATTCTTGCAGTTTAGTTCTTGGCACTATTCCAAGGGGGAAGGAGGGATGAAGAACGGAGGAAGTAAAAATGTTTTGTTTTCTCAAGCAAGCAAAACTGGAGCCTGGCTTCAGATGCCAAGAAGAGCAGGAGAAACATTATCTGGTTAGCTGCAAGGAAAGCTTAATGGGCATGTAGAGGGAGCCAATTTTAATACCAAGTGCACACTGATCCCAGTTTCTCCAGGATGTAGGAATACTATTCCCATTATATAACAGCCAGCCAATTCCCTCCAACCCATTTTCTGTAGGATTCATTCCCAGATGTTAAGAGAATGACATCTTGCTGACCAAGGCTGCTCAGTCTCATTAAAAGTTCAAGGTGCTGGGTTCATCCTCCTCAGCAAACTCAAATAATTAAATATCAGGAATGCAATTAAACCAGACCAGACCAGACCTTACCACACTGACACCTATCTAAAGACAAACACACACACAAAAACCTGTCAGCAGTTGCTAAAAACTGAGATGAGTGTCAGACAAGAATTTCTCACCCGCGCAAGTTAGTTTTTGCTAATGGGTGGCAAAAGGAGGGTGGAGGAATTAGCATGATGGATCGGATCACAGTAGATCTCCAATAGGAGTTTTTCAATCTGCAACTAGAGTTTTATAGCTTTGCATATCCTTTCCTCTCTCTCTCCCCCCTGCACCCATCCCAGGGGAAGGAACCTGTGCAACACCCATCTCTTTAAAACCCCTG